GGGCCCGCGATGCTCTTCGAACCACATACAAGTGGGCCTGCTGATGGTTTCTTGGCGGAAGGTTTTGATGCCTCCTCTGATTGTCTCATCTGATTAAACAGATTCGAAGCCCCTTTCACTTGCTGAGCCGGGTTAGTCACTTTAGAAGCAGAAAGATTTGTGGCTGAAGAAGTATCTAGACAAAGTGTATGTTGTTTGTGGCTAAAGACGGCATTAGAACAAGATATGGCGGATCCTGAATGGTGTATTTCTTTTTGAAGTAGTGGTTTTGAGGCCTTCGGCGAATCGGAGTCTGAATCAGAGGAACAGGAATTCGGTGCAGCAACAAATAATTTCGCCTGAATGGATTTCGTAACGTCTGCATGGGTACAGGGCTGAACCAAGGACTTCGAAACTAAATTAATTTTTGGAACAGACAAAGCATATGTGGAATCTGAATCTGAATCTGAATCGGTCTCAGATGAACATTCTTGTTGTTTGGGACCCATTAGGCTTTTCGAATCAAGTAAAGCTGGACCTGCAGATCGGGTAAGTTTTTTCCTTGAAGGTGCTGATGCTTTGTCAGAATCGGAGGCTGAATGAGATGAGGAATATTTCCGTTTGAGAATGGTATGAGATGGCATCGCCAGATTCACATGAGAATTGGACTGTAGAAACGGATTTGAAGATGACTTCACTTTATCAACCAGCTTCGTAGCTTTGGAAGCTGAAGCACAACCAGACTTAATATCATAAGTATCTTGTTGAAGCAGATGTTGTTTGGAAGACATATCCTCTTTGTAACCACTCGCAGCAGGACCAAATGATTTAAAGAGCTTCTTATCTAAACGTCTTTTTGTGTCAACTGAATCAGAAAGCTCCAAGCGCGGAAAAACGTCCCTGTGTTGCGAATACAATGGAGTAGTTTTAGAACTATGTACAACTGGACAGGCCGATTTAGTTGATTTCTGGCCTGAAACTTTATTTACCTCCTGTGAATCAGAAGATTGAGATTCCGTGGGACTATTTATCTGGTTCAGTTG